ATGAAGGCTAGGACTATAACAGAGTTTAAAAGAGAACTGGATAAATTCATGGTGGTTAAGTCCATTAATGGCTATTAGCCAGGATGGGTAAGGAATGGTGTCCCTAGCCTCTGTCTGTCAGAGGATGGAGATGGATGGCAGGAGAAAGATCACTTGATCATTGCCTGTTAGGTTCACTCCCTCTGGGGCACCTGACATTGGCCACTGTCGGTAGACAGGATACTGGGCTAGATGGACCTTTGGTCTGACCCGGTACGGCCTCTCTTATGTTCTTATGTTAACTGATGTCAGGGAGGTGTGTTTTGCTGTAACTGTAAAAAATTGCCTACATGTGGGCAAGTTAAAAGCCAGTGAAAACTGTAGTTGCACATGCTCAGTAGAGATGTGTTAGAAGCTGGCAGCTAAATTCTCCAAAGACTATCTGCACTGAGTATGCTCCATCTCCATACAGCTGCTACATGCTGACTGGACTGCACATGTCCCCCACCATGATATTGTGACTGAGCAGAACTTTTCCCGTCCTTGCACCTCTGTTGTAGCACCAAGCTCCAGAATTTGGAGACACTTGCTCCTTTTGCTTTCATCCTGCTAGCATCAAGGGAGCAAGGAGGTGGCAGAAGCAACCTTACTCACTCCTTTCTATCTGAGGAACAGAGGAAGGACACAGGCTGGAAGCAGAAGGGAACAGGGAGATAAGTGGATATGCATGTAAGACAGGGAGGAGAACAGCAGATGGGGACAGAAGGGTCTGTAATCACTAGAATATACTCTCCCCTGGAACCTAGAACTGAACCCAGGATTCCTGAGTCTCAATATTCCTCTGCTGGAATACTGGGATTGGTACTATCCAGCAGATACCCATTTTACTAGTGGGATTGGTACTATCTCTTCCCCTCTAATCGGTCCACATACAGGAGAACAGCCTACTAATGCTACCAGATGTTCAATTAACTCAGGCGGTAGAAGTCTGCAGTTTGAGCTAAAGGTCCTGACCCTGCTAGTGACACATTTGATGGTGAATATAGTTCACATGAAGGTATTTCTATTGTTTCAGTTTGCTTTTAAAAATTTTAAGAAAACACATTAAAAGAACACCAGGGTTTCAAAGTAAAGCATTGAATAGTTAGGAAATACCAAAATTAAGGAATACATGATCAAATACTTTTTTCCCTCAGAAGCCCTGTCTTAGCGTGCAGGATGAGCCAGGCTCAGGAAAATCACCATCATGCATGCGTACAAGGGGACTGACTTAGAATTGCACAAGCAACCTTAGGTTTGGTATTTCCTAATTTGACTTGGCAACCTTTACTACAAAACATGGGCATAACTTTTCCCTACCACTGTTCTCAGAAGATCAAATTAAACTTTCCAAAACAAATTCGGCCTGAGACAGAGACCTGGTATGAAGAAACTTCATCTTTGAGCTAAATTCAAGTGTAGTATTGGCAAAGTAACAAGCAACTGAAAATAGAGACCTCTAATGAGAAGTTAAACAACCTGAACCTAAGCAGCTCTGTTGGCTATTGTACACTACATCAGTCATCTTCATATTTGGATGGGGGGGGGGCACAAGATTGCTTTTGTCAAGATTAGAAGTTAGCAATCCAGTGACATCCTTTCCATACATTGCTACCATCAGCCAAAAGCCCAGGTGACCGTCAATCCTGGCCTATGCTTGTCTACACGTGGCCATGCTCCTTTGAACGCACGTGTTACCTGGGCTGAACTCCTACTTCCCCAGGTACCTGGGGCTCGCAGCAGGACTGTCCCCGCGCACAAAGCCGGGGCTGCGCTAGCGAAGGCTGCAAAGCGGTTGCTAGGGCCGGTTCGTATTTCCCTGCCGTCCTTAACTCTGGGCCTCCGGGCCGGTCTCACCGCGGGGCCACCCCACCGACCGGCCCAGCCGAGGCCCGGGCTGTCGGCCCCCACGGGCGGTGTTACACATTCCCGCAGCCCGGCCTGGACGCTCAGCTGCCGGGGGCGGGACCGAGCGGCGCCGCGCCCGGTGGCAGCCAGGCAAGGCCGGGCCGGGCCGGGCCGGGCCGCGCCGCGCCGCGAGGAGACGCCAGGCGCTGCCCCCGGCGCTACCTGTCCTTGGCAGCCCCCAGCTCCCGCAGCGCCGCGCGCAGCTCGCCGTCCTTGCGGATGAGACTCTCCGCCTGCCCGCGCACCGTGCGCTCGGCCGCGCCCAGCCGCCGCTCCAGCTCCGCCACGCGCCCGTGCAGCGCCGCCAGGTGCGCATTGGCCTCGCGGATCTGTACGGCCGGTGGCGCCGACATATCGGCCGGGCCCGGCTAGTCCCTCCGCGGCTGTGGGCTCCCGCCCCGCCCCGCCGGCCAAGGAGCGGAGCGGAGCGGGGCGGGGCGCGGCAAGCCCCGCCCCAGCCAGCCCGCTCCATCCTGGCCTGGATCAATGACTTGGGGGCCCCGGGCTTTGGGCAGAGGGGTCCTTTGGTGGCAGGGGTCGCTGTGAGGGCAGAGTGGCCCTTTGGGGGTAGGGCGATGCTCCTCCCTGAGAGAGGAGCCCTTTGGGGCAGAGCAGGGCCACTGGCGTGGGGTGGACCCCTTGGGGGCAGAGGGATGCCCCCTCCCAGCAGAGGGTCCCTTTTGGGAGCAGGGGGTGCTTTGAGGCAGGTGGATGGCACCCTGGGAAAAGTGGGGCTGGGGCACCCTAGGAAGAGGGGTGCTTTGGGAGTACTGGGGTAGGGCAGTGGTTTTCAAACTGCGGGTTGCAACCCAGTACTGGATGGCAGAATATAAGGCACTGGGTCATGGTGGCTCTGTTCCCGTCGGTCATGCTGCCTGGCTAAGACAGGCTAGTCCCTACCTGTTCTGAAGCGGCCAGCAGCAGGGCCGGCTCCTAGGCAGAGGGGGCACAGGGCTCTATGCACTACACCGGCTCTGCACTCCCATTAGCTGGGAACCGGCCAATGGGAGCTGGAGAGGTGCCTGCAGGTGAGAGCCACGCGAAGCCACTTGTGTGTCTCTGTCTAGGAGTCGGGCCTGCTGCTGGCGGCTTCCGGAGCGTAGCATAGTCTGTAGTGCCAGGACAGGCAGGAAGCCTGCCTTAGCACCTCCTCTGCACCGCTGACCGGGAGCCGCCTGAGGTAAGCCCGAGCCCCAATCCCACACCCCAACCCTCTGCCCCAGCCCTGAGCCCCCCCCCAAACTTGAGCCCCCTCCTGCACTCCAATCCCCTCATCCCTGGCCCCATCCCAGAGTCTACACCCTGTGACATTCTGTACCTTGGGGGAATACCCTGCACCCCCATGTTCATCCTTATAATATGATTGTGTGGTATCGAATGCAAAGTTTGTCCTGTCGGGTGTCTTCGGAAGGCTCATGATGCACTGAGCATAGTTGTTATAGTAATGTTATAGTAATTGTTGTTATAGTAATGTTTGTTATAGGGTGTAATTTCATTTATATAGTTATGAGGCTGAAAATGCGTCCTCATGGCTTAAACAAGCCCAGGCGGAACTCTCTAGGAATAGAGGGGCAGTTCACACCTCATCAGGGCATGTATGGGACAAACCCAGCCCAGCCTCACAGGAACAATGGACACTGGCCTAGGCAGCAACAAAGGATCTGTTGGACTCTCCAGTGAGTCACCCCCCTTCCCTTGGTCAGCCAGGGGACTACAATGATGTAATGCTCACCTGACTGTGAAGGGGGAGGGAAGCAAAGCCAAGAAGGAAGAAAGAACATGATAAAAGGGAGAGATGTTTGCCATGCTCTCCTCTCTCTTCCACCTCCATCTACAGACATCACCAGCCAGCGACTGAAGCGCTGATCAAAGGGGAGAGCCTGGCTGAAGGGCAACCAGACAGCCTGTGGTGAGAAGCATCTAAGTTTATAAGGGCACTGAAAGTGTTAAGATCACCTTAGAATGTGTTTTGCTTTTATTTCATTTGACCAAATCCGACTTGTTATACTTTGACTTACAATCACTTAAAATCTATCTATTGTAGTTAATAAATTGTTTGTTTATTCTACATGAAGCAGTGTGTTTGGTTTGAAGCGTGTCAGAGACTCCCCTTGGGATAACAAGCCTGATACATATCAATTTCTTTGTTAAAAATTGACAAACTCATATAAGCTTGCAGCGTCCAGTGGGCATAACTGGACACTGCAAGATGGAGGTTCCTAGGGGTGTGTCTGGGACCGGAGATATTGTCTAGTGTTATTCGGTTGCACAATCCAAGGAGCAGCTTACATGCCACAGGCTGTGTGTGAACAGCCCAGGAGTGGTGGTTCTCACAGCAGAGCAGGGTAAGGGTGGCTCCCAGAGTGAAGGATTGAAGTGACCTAGCAGATCACCGGTCCGGATAACACCAGGGGAACGTCACAGACCCCCAGCCACAGACCCCCTCCTGTACCCCAACCCTCTGCCCCAGCTCTGTTGAGTCATGGGCATCAACAATTTTCTTCAACTGGGTCTACAGAAAAAAAGTTTGAAAACAACTGGTGTAGGGGAGTGCTAACTTGAAAGATCCTTACAAATATCTTTTGCCCAATTTCACCTCATTTCACTTTTGATAATACAACAATTTAGAGAGTGAAGGGGTATACTCACTGTTTGTGAATTGGTTAGAGGGCAGCCAGAAAAGCAATGTTCAAGAAGTGTGGAAAAAGCTGGATTTATATAGCTTCTGTTTTACATTAATAAATAATGCATAAAATTTCCAGTCCATTTCTATGCTAGCAGGGCACTGTTTTTGTAGATACAGACTAACACGGCTACCCCCTGATACTTGTAGTTGCTCTGTATTTCTCTTCCATAAAGCTCTTTCCCAGAACAAGACACACACTTGTTGCAGGAAAGGAAATGTTTTACAGTTTGATTGGGGCACAAAGTTTAGCAAGAAGAGAGTTCCCTGACAGCAATTTCACCATAGAAACAAACACACACCAGCCTGATCACAGTGGCAGTATTGGACTAACGTACAGATTCGACAGTGTGGAAGGATGGCTTTTTCTCATGGCTCAAACGCATTCCTCAAGTTTTACAAGTTTACAATAGGTATGTCTTTGCTGCGCCTGGGAGTGAGCCTCCAGGTGGGGCCAACAGATTTGAGGTAGCAGGGCTTATGTTATCATGCTGCACTAGCCTGAGGGGGCCGGAGGGGGGGGGAAGAGGTGAGAGCCCAAGCTGCAACATCTAAACAACGCCTACGGCGCCTATGGTCGCTATTACTTTTAACACAAATGACATGACATATAAAGCCTCAAATCCCAACATGCAGTGCCTCCTCTCGATAGAAGTGGCTGGGCTGCACAAAGCTGTTTTGATGTTGTGGAAAGTAAACCCCGATTGTGGGAAAGCCTATTTCCTATCATTCTTTAAACTCCAGGCCCTGAGCTATTGGCCTCTGTGATGAGACAGTAAAAAGTCCTTTACAAAATATAAGGTCTTGTGCCCTCATAGTTCTCTCTGGGCAGAGCCTCAATTGTAAACTCCAACTCCTGCTCTGGCTCAAT